CTGGAACAGCAGAGCCCTCATGGGGACTCTGCAGCGGGGTGGAGGAGGGGCAGAACAGGAGCATCCATCTCAAAGCAGGTGGCCTAGCAGATCATGCAGTCCATCAGATGCTGAGAATTTGCCACACCGTGGGCCTTTCACTGTGTACTGGTCTTCCCAGGTTATTCTTTAGCAACAGCCAAATATTGGAAACATGGGGCCAACTAGGGACAACTTATTCACCTGGGACTAGAAAAATTCTCTTTTCATTTCTTCTGTGGTTCCCAATAAAAATTTGACTTGACAGGTCCTCCCTACTCAGGGTTCCCAGTCACATGTCATCATGGATCCAGCCTGGGCTTTGAAGCCAGTGGATCTGGTTCTTCTGACAAGGGGCCTGCATTTCTACCCACAGCTCTGGAAGATGCTGGACATTAAATGAGTAAATGCAGTTGAAACCCTACGTGCCTGGTGACCTCTGAGAGCCATCAGTGAGAATCAGAGGCCAGGTGTTGAGAAGAACATACAGTTGGTAGGGTCTGAGCTGCCAGTAGAGTTTAGGTGGGAGGAAAGGAAGGATGCGCAGGCGGGGAGCCAGGTGAACAAGGCCAGGAGGGCAGGAAAACCGCAGCAGAGAATACAGGAAGATTTCAGGGTGGAGGTTGGGAAGAATTGTAAGTTATTCCCTCCCATCTCGACACCTCCAGCTCAATTTCTTTAGTACTTTCTTTTTAACACTTATTGACTGATCTTTTTAATTTACTTTTTTTAAAAAATAAAACTGAGATACTTCCATATTCCTGTATGGGTCCTATTTTATCCACCTAACACCCTCTGCCCCATACGCCTCCAGTTTTGGGGACTGACTAGCATTCACTGACCACCATAATCATGACAGATCTGTACCCAACTTCAGGTAGGTGTTGCTCCAGATTTAGGTCTCATTTTGCTTTATTCATTAATTATTTTTAAGCCACATTTCGTATTATTTTAGGGAGTTTAACAGTGAATCTTCCATAAAAACCAGAATTAGTAATTAAAAGTGTGACCACTTCCCACTTTATCTTTGCTATGACCAGTTTTGCCTGTTCTAAACAATGCAAAGGGGACCATGGTAAGTTCCATCAGAACAGGGACTCTGGCAGGATCTCTTGTGGCCCCATGGCTACCATGTGACATTTTTGTAACTTGCTCCCCACAGTACTGCATCTGGATTGATGGCCTCAGTGCCCTTCTGGGTAAGGACATGTCCAGTGAGCTGACCAAAAGTGACCTGGATACCCTGCTGAGCATGGAAATGAAGCTGCGGCTCCTGGACCTGGAAAACATCCAGATTCCTGAAGCACCGCCACCAGTCCCCAAGGAGCCCAGCAGCTATGACTTTGTCTATCATTACGGCTGAGCCTGGAGCCAGAGACCACAGTACCCAGGAGGGATTTGGGCCCAGGAGAGACACTCAGCTCTGGTGCCTTGTCTTTTGCTTGTACAGAAACTACAGTGATGGTGGTGGCCAGTAAATGCCAGCCACTCCTCAAACCCACCTCAGACCACACAGAGCTTCTTCCTGGTCCCTGCCTACTAGGAGTCATGGAGGCAGGGTGCTTTGCCTTCCCATCACCGCAAAGCCTGGGATTGGGCCATGAGGAATGAATGATAGGTGCCCTGCCTTCCAGCCTAGAAACCGTTGTCTTGAACTGGGTTTAACAGCAGCCACCCACCTTCCTTCCTGAGGCTGCTCTTTTTGGCTGGATCCCATGTGAGCCAGAGATGGCTCAGGAAAAGCTGCCTGCAGAGGACAGGTAATCCGGGCATGTTGAGAGCCTTGGAGTGGCTGCCTTTGGGTGGATTTGAATATAGGCCTTGTGCCTTTCCTTTTTCTTCTTCGTGAGGGCTCACTCTAGCCTCATCTGGTGCCAAGATGTTGCTGCTTCTGAGGTTTGGCTCTAACATCTCTGGCCTCCAGAGCTATAGATCTCTCTTGCCCATGAAGGTATCAGAACAGATGGAAGTTCCTCCATACAAGCTCTCCGTCTCTTCCTGGCCAGGCAGAGACCTCCAATCCAAGTCCTGCCCTCTTAGTTTCAGGAGCACTGCAGGGAAAGCCCCGCTGAGGCCTAGGTCAGGACTGACTGGTCACAGGATTCCCCCTGGTTGCCCCTACGTTTATCTTTCCTTCCTGGAGAAATCTCCCACTGGCTTGAACGGCAGCCCCTCCAGTTTGTTTTCCTTTGGCCTCCAGACTGTAGGAAGTTTGCCTTCCCTTCTCTCCTTCCTAGTGCTGTGGTTTCTGCCACTGGCCATGGTTTCAGGGAGCTGGCTGGGGTCAGCCAAGGCCACAGCTGTGCTGTGGGGCTTCCCTGGCGCTTCAGCACTTGAACCACATGCACACCCTCCCCCTGTGGACCTGTTAACACAGTGGCATGGTAGGCACTACCCAATGAAGAGTGTACTATATATTTTCTTTACTATAGGCCATACTTATACAGACATGTATATATATTTATATAATATCTACCTATCCTAGGACGGAATGTTTGCAGGGCAGTAAAATGGGGGGAAAGTAACACTCCCAATTGTGAGCCAAGAGTAACCAGAGAACAGCCAGGAGCTTCCTGTCAGTAACCAGGTTTTCAATAAATACTCTTTCATGTACAAATTGTGGTTCCTGTTAACAGCTGTTTCCCTGCACTTGCTCCCTGCCCAAGGGTGGAGTCACCTTGGCCATCTTCATTTTAGTATACCTGGGAGGCTACAGAACTCCAGGTGGAGCCATTAGCCACTCCAAAAGTCCCTTCCTCCTCATCCACGCCCCCCAGCACACACCTGCTGATGAAGAACGCTCACAGATTGTGTACTGGGACAAAGTGTTTCCAGCTCTGCGTCGCTCTGTACAGCAGGGAAAGGACTACTGTACACCCCCATGAACACATCCTCCCTCTTCCCCACTGCCAGGGAACAGCTCGAGCACTTCTGCCTTACAAAGAAGACGTTCTTCACCCTGTGTCATCTGTGTTTGGTGCCCAGCCTTGCAGCTGGTGTTTAAGGCTGTTGCTCGAGTCCACAGCCTTGGTGGCATGAATATCAGTAAGGATGAAAATAGATACTTTACTTTCTCTCACCTCTGAGAGAGGAGGGGATGAGAACAAGTTCTCTCAAAAGGCATAGAAAGTTCATGCCACACAGGCCTTGCGGACTGAAAGACCTGGGGCAGCGACGGGTACCATTGTAGGTGCTTGGTAAGCACTGAATGAACTGATGCCAGCGTGATGCCAGCTGGCAATGGAGACAGCAGCAGTTTGCACGAAGCTCTGCTCACACTCTGGCCTTGAGCCTTCTGTTCAGAGGGGTTGGGAGCCCAGCTGAGTCACAAGGATCCATGTTTGCAGCCAGTCACGGTGCAGAGCCCAGGAGACTTGAGTAGAGCAAAAAGCACAAAACTGGGTCTTGGTGTGCAGCCCTCACCTGCCGAGCCTAGTGTTTCTCACTGTCCACAAACATTGCCCCTTTTAACCCATCCCACAAGATGCATCAAATCTGAATGCTCTTGGCATTCTAGGGGCCACTGCAACCTGTCCCTTGGCTACTTTAACCACTGTAGTTTTTGTTACCTTCTTGAACCACCTGAGCTCCCAGCAAGCCTGGCACTTTCTCAGCCCCTCCTGAGGTTCTTATTTCCTCTGGGATACTCTCCTCTTACTCAACCTCTTGAAATTATTCTTAGAAGGCTTCAGACGAAATATTTCACAAATGTTATTCTGTATCTTTCTAAGTAAAAATTCAGTGTCCCTGACATTACTCCCCAGCTGGCTGCAGCTTCCAGAAGCGGAACCCCAGAGAGATTTCGTGGTTCGCTGCATGCTTGCCTGGCACTGGGTTGGATGTAGATAAACCATCTGTTTTAACAAAGGTAAATAGGGACCACCGTGGGGGTGCTCACTGTGTGCAGGACAGTAGCAGGCACCGCGGCTCCACGACAAGTGGCTGCTTGCGCGCCGGAGACAAGCGATTACAATACAGAGCTGAACAAAAGGTGGACGCGGGCGCCCAGCGCACGAGGGCACCGCGGAGGTCTGGCTGAGCGCGGAGGAAGGCCCCCCAGCCAATACAGCAGCTCCCGCCCCAGCCTCTGCACATGGTCCCCGCTCCGCCCCCTCCCTGCTCGGCGGCTTCCGGCGGAAGCCACCCCTCCCGCGGCTCGGGGGCGGAACCCGGCTCGCACTTCCGGCGGGAGGATCGCGGCTGCGATCGCCACGGTGGAGGTGAGTGGGCGTGCTGCGGGAGCTCCCGGGAGGGGGTCCGGCTGCGTGGGGGGCCGTCCCGCCTCGGTTCTGCACGCTGCTCGCTCCTGCTGCCGCCCCGGCGCCCGGCCGGGTCCGCGGAGGGGCGGGGACCTCGGCCTCCTGCAGGCCGCCGGGCGGGATCCGACACCCCGACCGGCTCGCAGAGGCCGGGCTCCGCGGGAGACACGAGCCAACACGGCCACGTCAGCTGGTGGGGAGGTCTGGAGGATGGGGGCCCTTGGCGGAGTCGGAGGACGCGGACTTGATGTGCCTGACCAGCCGCTGGAAGCCGGGCGGCGGGGGCCGGGGACAGCGGTAGGAGGAGGTTGTAGAGGTCGGCGGAGGCCAGGTGGTAGGCGGCCTCCTCGCGGGCCGAGCCGAGGAGCGGGATCCGCCCTCGGAGGGCGTGGTCTGCTTTCTGTGTGTGTAGGCCACCCCTTTGGCTGCTTCGTGGACTCCAGGCTGTGGGGACAAAAGAGGAAGCTCCGCGATAACGGAAGATAACGTGGCTGAGACTGTGGTTGTGGAAGGGGAAGTGAAGAAAAGTGGACGGGTACAGAAGTCATTGGTGGTGGAGCTGACAGGGCAGGATTTGAGGACTGAGAGCCAGAGGGGGTCAAGTGTTCCTCATCTCTGATGTGTGCATTTGGTTTAAGTAACTGCATTACACTGGCGCTTACTAAATGACTTTGGAGTAGGTTGGGGGCATGGGGAGTAATTTAGATGTATGCTTACGGCATCTTAAGATTTAGATGTCTGGAGTGGAGCTACCAAAAGGACACTTAGATACACAAGCCTGCACTCACAGGAAAGCTTGGCTAATGTAAAGACATCACTGGCAAGTGGTTTGGGTTGGATGCAGTACTTAGGATGAGAATGAAGAAAGAAGAGAAGCCAGGATCCGACCCTCAGGTGCCAACTCTTACACCGTTGAGTTGAAGAGGGGGTGTCAGCTAGAAGACTGAAGAAGGAGCGAAGAGCAGAAGACAAGCCAGAGATTGTAGGGTCCTGGCATCCGAGTCGTCTTTGCAAAAAGAGGAAGTGGTCAGTGTATAAGAGGAGAACAGAGAGTTGGCCCTTGAGGGGGCAACTGGAGGAGGGTGTAGTAACTCAGAAGCAGTCAGGAAGTGTTCACAGGAAGTGAGAGGAGGTCAGTAGGAGTGGGCTGTCAGTGCAGGGCCTCTGGTTGTTATAACTGTACACCATCCAGCATCGATGCTGTATGTACCTAATGCTGTTGACTCCTTTCCCAGGAGCTAGATGGTTCTGTCTCCCGTTACAGTTGGAGAAACTGAGTTCCAGAGTCTACTCATTTAAAGTAGAAGCATTAGGATTTGCTCCAGGTCTCAAACCTGTACTTTTAAGCACTAAGCTGCACCGCTGTGTTGAGGTTGGTAAAATGGAAGGCAGCCAGGTGCTACGACATTGCACAGCCCTACCCCCACTGTGGCTGCTGCTCCCCAGGGAAAGTGAGGCACACTGTGGAATTCCTCTCTTGGGCAAGAGAGATTTGGAAAAGAGCATCTAACCCCGTAAGTCTGGACTCCCTTACCACAGAGTAAGAGCAAGGACCTCATCCAGTTTCATGCCTGTATCTCCAGTGCTCCAATACAGTAGTGTGTCATGAATGTACATTGAGTATGTGGCTCTGTGATTTTTGGCTGGCCCCTCTAGCTGACATGAGTCTTTGTGTTTTGGGTAAGTGAATTACCTTTTGAATGCTGATAAGAAACAGTGTTGCTGACTTTGAGATGGAGCTGGGTGGGGGGCGAGTGTATTACAGGGATCTGGACTAGCTCTTGAAAGGAAAGGCATGATTGGAACAGCCCAGGGAGGACCTCGCATTGTTGAGCAGGCACTGTAGTGTAAGCAGAAGGTGCAGGTTGATCCCCGGAAAGGGAAACAGATGGCCCTAACTTGGAAGCCACTGGAAGGACCCATGGAGCAAGTGCTAGGAAGAAAGTCCCCTTAGTATCAATATGCCCTGCAACTGCCTGTGTAGCGTAAGCAGTGACTCTCAACCAGGAGCACTTGTGATCCCCAGGCAGTGTTTGGCAATGTCTGGACACAATTTTGGTTGTTTCGTATAGCGGGGGCTAAGGATATTCCTGCATCTCGCAGGTGTTGACTGGGGATGCTGCTAACATCCTACAGTGCACAAGGATTTATCCAGCCCCGAACATGAGTGACACCAAGTTTGAGAAACTGGCGTAGAGGAAAGTGGGCCTCGAGCTTGCACCATGTGGGTTTGAAGCCCCATTGCTCCACTTGGTCACAGAAGCAGGAGTCTGGCTGTGAGTGGCAGGAGGAGCAGAGAGGCCACCGCAGGAGATTGCTGCAGTCATCTGGAGAGAGGTAGGGGCTGGGGTGGCGGGAGTGGAGGTCAGGAGATGCGATGATTGGGGATATTTGCAGAGATGGAGCTGCCAGGGGTTGAGTGAGCTGGGGACAGAGGAGGAGAGTGGCGGTGCCTGCTCTGCTGGGAAAGGGCAGGAGGGACACCTGAGATCAGACATTGGGGTAAAGAGGTCAAGTCGCAGTTGTTCTTCCTCTGAGGTTCATGGTGAATCAGAGCTGGGGTCCACACTGGGGAGGTATGTCAGCTTTAGACCAGGAAGGACAGTGACATAGCCCACTGGTCGCAGCATGTTCCTTTTTTTCTTTGGCAGGACTGGGATTGAACCCGGGGTGCTTTCCCACTGAGCCACCACATTCTCAGCCCTTTTTATTTTTTATTTTGAAGACAGGGTCTCACTAAATTGCCAAGGCTGACCTCAAACTTGCAATCCTCCTGCCTTGGCTTCCTGAGTCACTGGGACTACAGGTGTGTGCCACCAAACCGAGCCCTTCACATATATATATATTTATTTATTTATTTTTTTAATGAGTGTGTCCTAACATAACGCAAAGGGAAAGTAATATGACAATGAAACGTGTTTCTACGTGGAGGTTCCTGGGCACAGTAACAGAGTGAGGGTGAAGTGGCCGGCGGCTCCCTTCTCTGTAGAACACCTAGGAACATGGTAGCCACAAACACACCTTCACATAGCCATGGTGTGCCCCAGCTCAGAAACCATGAGTGGTTTAAGTTTGGGGAATTTTCAGTGCATGGTGGAGCCATAGAAAAGCTCTGCGTGTGTACACCTATGCCTGATTTAGGGTCTGGGTTCAGGTGATCATAGGCCAGTCTTCCACCTGCACCTCAAAGTCATACAGATTGTAGAATAATTCTTGGTTCTGTGGGCTACGCCTCATGGTCCTTGCTCCCTGTGTGCTTCCGGTATCCCCCCAGTTCACCACTACAGATTTCTAAAGTTCCTCTGAAGAGAACTGCAGCCCTAGAGCCCAGTTTGCCTTGCAGGTGGGGAAGGGATAGCACTGGTTCCAAGAGTACAGTGCAGGTGTGGTCATTCCCTTCAGACCCACGGGCTGGGGTGGGGTGGGGATCAGCCTTCTAAGAAGGCTTCCAGGAGATGGCATTGCAGCAGGTGGGGCGTCTCCCAAGTAGGCAGTGAGGAGGGGACACACAGCTGAAGCAGAGGTGTGATGCTGGGCCCCAGTCCCTAGGCACAGGTGGGTCCACCGTCTCCAGCCACAAATGCTCATGCATTCCTTGGGGCTGCGGGGTTGCTTGGGTGGCAGGGAGTGGTTTGTTTAGGCAGGACCCTGTGCCTCTGAGAGCAGTTGGTAGAGGGTAAGGCCAGATAGGTACAGGTGTCCTGATCCACTTTCAACCTCTGAAGAAGAGATCAGTCCCCTGAAAATGACGCGCATGTTGTCTGTCACTGAGTCATCAGACCGAATGGAGAACTTACCCAGTGTCAGGTGTGGTAAGGTTCTGTCTGACCTCAAGTACCCGGCCTTGCAGAGGACCAGACATTACTCAGATCACACCCTGCAGAAGTGCTGGGAAGGGATAGTAGAACCACCTGTATCTCAAGACTGGTGGGTGGGGACATCCCCAGGACCTTTGTGCCCAAGAAAAGCAGGGTGACTGAGGAATGGTTGAAGAGGGGCGCTCGTTCCTCCAGGCAGCAGGAAAGCCTGGTGTGTTGGGAGAACCAAAAGGCAGCCAGTTGGACCCGTCCTGGAAACTGTGAGGCTGAGGCTGGCGAGACTGCAGGGCCAGATCTGGGCCCTGGGAGCCCCAAAAGGGTTTTGGCCTTTGTCCGTGAGACAGCACTGGTCCAACACAATCAGATTTACGTGTTGAAAAGGTCATTTTGATAACAGCCCATGGAGAACAGCCTGAAGTGACGCGGGAGTGGACTGACTAGGGCTCTGTGAGTGCTGGACTGGGTGTGGGAGCCGCAGGGCCACCACAGCTGTCTTCTCATCTTTCTAGCAGCAGAACTGGGGTCCTTTGAGCCCTGCACCCAGCTAACCATGGAACAGGTCGGCCTGGGCCACCAGCCCCTTAGGTGAGGACTCCACCCGGGGCTCCACTGACCATTTCAAACATGGAGGTGAAGAGAACCCTTCCAGCCACGGAATCTGCTTGTTGAAAGTCGTGGTCCAGCGCCGCTCCTCTGTGAGCTGTCTTCAGGAGAGGTGCTGTCCCGTGGCCCAGGAGCGGGGGCACGCAGCCTCCGCGGATGGGGAGGTGGGCCCTTGACGTGGCCTTTGTGTGGAAGGCAGTGTTGACCCTGGGGCTGGTCCTTCTCTACTACTGTTTCTCCATCGGCATCACCTTCTACAACAAATGGCTGACAAAGGTAACTGAGGCCTCACCAGTGCAGGGTGCTGGGGCAAAGGTGGCCACAATTGGCATGGCCTTATTGGCCCACAGAGGCTCTTGGATAAGGCTGATGGACCAGCCAGCGGGTGTTGAAGTGGAGACAGCACCAAACTGGGAGTGAGCCCCAGGGTGCCACTTCTCTTTTGGACCTCCACAGTGGGGACAAAGGGTCTCTCAGTCTAAGGAACTGGAATGCAGCTGAGAGCCCCTCCCACCTGACAGCAGCTGGAGGGAGGAGGGGGTGCCAGCCCTGGGCAGTCTCTGAGGCGCGGGGTGTCTGCTTGGGCTCTGCAGAGCTTTCACTTCCCCCTCTTCATGACGATGCTGCACCTGGCCGTGATCTTCCTCTTCTCCGCCCTGTCCAGGACGCTGGTTCAGTGCTCCAGCCACAGGGCCCGTGTGGTGCTGAGCTGGACCGACTACCTCAAAAGAGTGGCCCCCACAGGTACGTGTCCCGGCAGAAGGAGGGCTGCTAGAGGACCAGAGAGAAGCCCTCTGGGCCTTGAGGTCACGTCCCCTCTCTGCCTCCCTCCCCTCCCCTCGCCCCACCATCTCTCGAGCTCTCCCTGACTTCCCCTCCCGCCACACACACAGAAAGCCCTACGGCGGGCAGGGAGCCTGCAGCATGTGCGTGCACCTCGCAGGCAGGGTCCTGGCCCCCGCGCCCTGTGGTGGGCTGTCAGAGGTGCCCCAGAACACTGAGAGTGGAGCCTGACCCGGGCCTGCCTGTCATCTGGGTCCTAGGTCAGGTGTGAGTAGGCAGGTACTGAAGGACAGGTGGCACCAGCTGGTGCTAGTGTGTCACACACCGAGCAGTGTGTGAAGTTTGAAAGGCCACTCGCTGCCACCCGAGAACCTGGAGGGCCAGGTGCCCTGTTGAGTTCATTTGGTCCCCAGGGAGAAGGGTTTTCACAAGAGGATTGACTGGCTGAGAGGTTCCAGTCTAGTGGGGGCGAGGATATTGAAATCAGTCAACACATGAGCATAGCACCCCCCAGTCAGGGTGGACTCCAGCCCGGTGGCCCCACTTTAGCCAGATGTTAACCACATAATTGCTGGTAGAAAGGAAAGCCTCGGGTTCCCAGAGAGGAAGCCAGAGTGGGGTAAAATGGCCACCTCCAGGACGTAGCGGCCACCTGGCTGGATGTTCCTGTGCCACCTCAGCCCCGGGCGCCCCTTTTCTCCACAGCACTGGCAACAGCACTTGACGTGGGCTTGTCCAACTGGAGCTTCCTCTACATCACCGTCTCGCTGTGAGTACCGGCTGCCGTCTGCGCACCTGGCCGATGGGCCAGCCACTCCATCACTCTCTGGGACCAGCCCTTGCTCTCTCAGCTCCTCCCTGGCACCTAGCAGCTCTCCAAGAAGTCTCCAGCCTCTTCCGTAAGCCCAGCGCAGAGGGGTCGCTGTGCCTGCCGGGCAGCGGGGGAAGCCAGGGGATGCGGACAGAGCACTGCAGTCGAGGAAGGGGCTGGCCACAGAGCACTGGCCACATCAGCGCCCAGTGTGGGCACGGGCTGGGTGATAGCTCGTTGTGTTGCGTTGGCTTCAGAGGACACGGTCCTCTTCGTGTCCTCTCGTCTCATCTGTTCTTCCTTTCCTGGTCTTGGCCAAGGGCTAGATAAAGGATAGAACTCCTCGATGTCAGACACACAGCCTTGTCTCCCAGTGATAATCGGGGGCCTCAGAGAATCTTCCCATGACAGGTCCCTTATCGGCCCAGGTGACTCAGGCAGGCTCCTTTTGATCTTCTGTACCCAGATTGCCCTGCTGCCCTGAGCAGCAGCACTTGCTCTCTGGAAAGTCAGCCTCCTCCCCCTTCCAGCCTGCTGATCTGTGCTCTGGGCTCTCTTCTGGGTGGCGGGTCCTAACCCCGACTCCCTCAGTGCAGTGTGGGTGATTTCCACTTCCAGGTACACAATGACCAAGTCCTCGGCTGTGCTGTTCATCTTGATCTTCTCTCTGATCTTCAAGCTGGAGGAGCTGGTGAGGCCCCCACATCTGTTTTGTCCTTCCTACCCGCTGTATGCCCAGAGTAGAAGAGGGAATCTGAGCGGTGACTGGGACAGGCCCAGCCCAGGTGGCAGTAACTCCCTCTTCTGAGAAGGGACCTAGGCATAGGGACAATATGCAGAGTATTTAGAAACAAGTGTGTCAGCAGCTGACAGAAGAAATCAGGAGGGTCCTGGAGAGCCCTGCTGTGCAAAGCGGTGGTCCTCATTTGGTGACCAAGGAGGTGGAGAGGCCACTCGGGACTTGGAACAGATCTCAGAAAGCACTGTGGTATTTTAGACTAGGAAGGGATACTGAGGACATGCCAGCTGTCAACCCTTCATACGTCAGTGGGCAAGGGCTGTCTGCGACTTCCCTGGGAGGGTTGAGGTAGAAGATCTCCTGCCCCAGGGGGAGCCAGGGGAGATGCTGACCCCCGGCTCTGGGTGTGGCGGACCCCTGAGTCAGCTGCACCTACTCCCCTCCTCCCAGCGTGCGGCCCTGGTCCTGGTGGTCCTCCTTATCGCTGGGGGCCTCTTCATGTTCACCTACAAGTCCACCCAGTTCAACATGAAGGGCTTCTCCCTGGTGCTGGGGGCCTCGTTCATCGGTGGAATTCGCTGGACCCTCACCCAGATGCTCCTGCAGAAGGCTGAGCTGGGTGAGCCTGGGCGGGGCAGGTGCAGGCAGGCTGGAGGCTGTGCAAGCACCAGCCAGACCTCCTGACCTCTGTGTCCTACCCTGCAGGCCTCCAGAACCCCATCGACACCATGTTTCACCTGCAGCCACTCATGTTTCTGGGGCTCTTCCCTCTGTTTGCCATATTTGAAGGTATGTTGGGCCAGCCACCTCGGGGCACCTCAGAACAGCGAATCCCAGATCCCTGTGTGGTGCTAGTTTTAGAGGTTGCCAACGTCAAAGACGCAGCCCCACCCCTGTACCCGTGTTGGGACTGGATAGACCCATAAGCAAGTGGCTAGAATCCAGTCTGATAGTTGCTGCAGAAAGAGTGTAAAACATAAGGACAGTGATGGTAATGACTGTACAGAGTGCTGAAGGGACTATTTTCATCTTTTTTTGTTCTTCTTTTTCCAGTACTAGGGATTGAACCCAGGGGCACTCTCCCACTGAGCTACACTCCAAGCCCTTTTGATATTTTATTTGAAGATAGGATCCCACTAAGTTGCCCAGTCTTGCCCCAAACTTGCAATCCTCCTACCTTAGCCTCCAGAGTAGCTGGGACTATAGGCCTGCACCATCACACCTGGCTATATTATTTCAAATACTTATTTTTTTTATGAAAAAAATACATGAATTTATTTTAAAAAGTCAAACAGCTCAATAAGAAATAAAATTACACAATAGCAAAAACATATTACAAATGCCAGAAAACATTCATATTTCCTGTAGGTCAGTAAATTGGGATAATCATTTTTGGAAAATAATTGGCATTATCTAGTAAAATTAAGATTTAGGTTCCCTACCTACAAATTTCTACTTTAGTGTATCATTGAAAGTAACCTGGCATATACACAATAGGAAGTGTGCATGTTATAGTCTGGGTGTGATTTGTCTTCCCAAAGATTCATGTCCTGGAAGCTTGGTCCCAAAGTGGCAGTGTTGAGGAGCTGGAAGCTTCAGGGGTGGATCCTAGTGTAAGGTGTTTAAATCACGGGGCCTCCATTCTCAGAAATAGATCAATGCTGTCTCACAGGAGTAGAACAGGACTGGGTAGGGGTATTAGTTTCTGAAGAGCTGATTGTTTTATATATATATGTATTGTTTTTATATATATTTATATATACATGTATATATTATATATAGATATATATTGTATATAGATATACATGTGTGTGTATGTCAAACACTTATTAAGTCCTCCCAAAAAACTGGCTGATACTGTAATTGTCACCTGGTTTTGCAGATGAAAGAAACTGAGGCTCAGAAGGGAAGAGAGCTTGCCCAGGGTCCCAGAGCTCACAAGGAAGCCAGAATTTGGACCCAGCCTCCTGGCTTCAAGCGGTTAAGCCCACTCTTCCCTATCTTGCATGCTGCCCCTAGGAGGGCAGAGTCACCGCCTGTTTTAGGAGGGTGGAGTGAGCGAGTCAGAAAAGTTCCCCAGACCATCCGTGTATTTTGGCGGATGAGAGGAGTGGGTGGACTAAGGCAGGCAGGGTGTCCTGAGAAGCAGGACAGGAGGTTCACTCACATGTTGGCCTGTAACTGTGTGGGATGGGATGGGCAGGGGCCAGCATGCAGGAGCCTGGGGCTGGGGCTTCCAGAGGGGGAGGAAAGAGAACTTGGAGGTGGGGCGGCACAGCACCACCTTCTTTGCCGGTTTTGGGGATTAGTCTTTGTCCTCTGTCTATTTATTCTTCCTCCCAGAGTCGCAACTGTTCTCAGGGTCATTACAGAAAATTCTGTCCCACATCCATTTAAGTTTCAAGCAGTGAAGCATCTCCAACCTCCCTGAGAAAATTATTCTGCAGCCCGTTGTCCAGGAGACTTCTGTTCAGAGCCTCATGTTTTTCCTTTTTAAAATCCCTCCCCATTCCTTCATTATGCCCCCTGCACCAAACACCACGCTCCCGGCCCCCCTGGGTGTCTGCACCATTCCCCCATCTGCAAACCCTCATCCGAAAGCCCCTGGTAGTCGCCACTTAGCAAAGCTGCATGGATTTAGCTCCTTTAATCTTTTCTGGTAAATTAATCCCCCAAGCGCCTTCATTACTTATGTTGCTCTTCCCCGAATTCCCTTCAATTTGCCTGTGCCTTGGCAGCCCTGCGGAGCCAGCCCAAGCTGGATGTCCTGCATTGTGAGTCCACTGGCTGCCGGGGGGACAGGGGTGGGCCGTCCTCTACTTCTTTGGTGCTTCCTTCCAAAATGCCCAAGTGCTTGTCAGTGCCCAGCTCCCACATGTGTCTAGTACAGAGCTCACTCCACCCTCTGCTGATACACCATGGGGATCTTGCTGGGGACCCGGAGAATTGTCCCTTCAGAGGGACAGTGTTGGAGGGACTCCTAAAAGTCCCTAGACAAAATTTGTGTTTTGTGCAGTCATCTGTTCACATAGGTGAATGTTTTCTTTTTGAGAAATGCTCATCAGCCCTGGGGAGGCTAAGGCAGGAGGACTGCAAGTTCAAGGCCAGCCTTGGCAACTTAGCAAAACTCTGTCTCCAAATAAAGAAATCAGAAGGGCTTGGGGTGTGTCTCAGTGGTAGAGTACCCCGGGTTCAATCTCTGGTCCCAAAAGAAGGGAGGGAGGGAGGGAGTGAAGCTCGATGGCGCTGCTTGCTAGGGAAATCCAATCCAGTTCCATCCTGTCATTTTATCAGCAGAGAAATTGAAGTCCAGAAAGGGAACATCTTGGCCCAAGTCCCACAGCTGTGTACTAGCAAGACCTAGGTTTGGGCTTGGTGGCAGGACGCTTGCCTGTCATCCATGAGGTCCTGGATGCCGTCCCCAAAATGGCAAAAAAAAAAAAAAAAAAACCGCAAGCAGACTGTCTGAAGGAGCGCCAGCCGCACCCTCCAGGGAAGCCCTCAGTCCATACCACTCCCTGTTGGGACCCCGCCTTTATTTTTTTAATTACCCTGGGGCTCCAACTCCTCCACTCTCCCTGGATCTCAGCCACTTGGTGGGATTACTCTGTACCCCTCGTTCTTTCCCCCAGCTGGATGGTCAGCAGGGGCTCCGTGTGTCGTCCACCTCAGTGATGACAAGGCTGGTTGCTGGACAGGGTAGCCCTGGCCCGGCCTCGGCCTCCCGCTCTCTCTCCCCGCGTTGCTCCAGGTCTGCACTTGTCCACATCTGAGAAAATCTTCCGCTTCCAGGACACGGGGCTGCTCCTGTGGGTACTTGGGAGTCTCTTCCTTGGCGGGATTCTCGCCTTCGGTTTGGGTTTCTCGGAGTTCCTCCTGGTTTCCCGAACCTCCAGCCTCACTCTCTCCATTGCTGGCATTTTTAAGGTACAGACTTGGAAGTGACCCTCTTTCCCTTAGAGGGCCCATAAAGGCTCCTCACCCAGCCTCCACCCCAGCTCCGGCACTCCTGGGCCCTTTGGAGAAGAGACCAGAGTGTCCGGTTCAGTGACAGCACTATGCTCCTGTCTCTCCTCTCTCCGCCATCCCCTCAGACCTGCAGAGCTGCTCCCAGCCAAGGGTGCACAGTGGGGATTCAGGGCCAGTCTGACCCTTCTAGACCCAGGCTGCGGTTACATTTTACTCCAGTGCCAGCCCTGGACGTGTGGCAGTGTCCTGGAGCCATAGGTTGAGAAGCCCCCACCCAGACTCACCAGTAGAGCTCCATGATTGATTGGCAGTGTCTGCCATGGGCCCAGCAGGAGTTGTGTCATGCAAAGTGCCACCTGTTGTCAGTCTTAAAACTTTTCTGGTGCCTTGAAGCCCTCCCTGCTCTCCCTTCCTCCCCCTCCCCCACCATCGCTGCAGCTCCCTGCCCAGGACCAGGAGGGGTCTTCTCTTTGACCAGGCAGACTCCACACTGGAGCAGAAATGAGGTCCCCTGAGGGCCTTCTGGCTGGCAGCCAAGGGATGAGGCATAAGCTGTGGTTCTGAGAGTGCATTGTTCACCAGTCCCACCTGCGGTCATTGTTTATGAAGGACCCTGGGACAGTGTATCCTCAGAGCCCAGCACAACCCTGCATTTGCCCGAAGGAGCTGAGGGCTACCCATCCACAGGTGCCCGTGCCAGGGCAGCTAACCCTGTCCTGAGCCCTTGGTGCAGGCTCCACACCAACCCTGGGTCTGTTGTGCCCCTCTTTTTCCCAGCAGAGTTCTGTGACATTCTGCCTCAGTAGCAAAGTGGGGCTAGCAGGAATGCCGTGTGGGGAGCCTGTCCCTCACCTCTTCACCCTCCAGGCCTGCCAGCCCTGCTCTGGCCAGGAGTCTTGGGGGTTGGGATCTAGTCTGAGCTAGGCAGGCCCCGCCCTCCTCTCCCCGAGAAGGAGCGCCCCCTGTTGACCACCCCTGCCCACTTCTCTGCCCACAGGAAGTCTGCACTTTGCTGCTGGCAGCTCACCTGCTGGGCGATCAGATCAGCCTCCTGAACTGGCTGGGCTTTGCCCTTTGCCTCTCGGGAATATCTCTGCACGTGGCCCTCAAAACTCTACACTCTAGAGGTAACTGGAGCCTTCCAGAGGCCTCCATTCTCTGATGTCACTCCCTGCGACTCTTGGCACCCCTGATTCCCCCTCGCCCAGCCTCGCCTGCCCGCCCTGAAGGGCTGGCTCTCGGCTCCCCTCCTGGCTGCTGCTGAGGCTCAGGGAGTGCGCCATTATCGGGTCCATAACTGATTCTGTCCCCAGGTGAAGGTGGATCCAGACCCCTGAAGGGGCTGAGCTCCAGCCCTGACCTGGAGCTGCTGCTCCGGAGCAGCCAGCCAGAGGATGAGGACAATGAGGAGGAAGACTACTTCGTGGCCCAGGGGCAGCAGTGAGGGGCCAGCGGAGCAACTGCAGGCTGCTCTGTGACCAGCGCTGCTCTGAGCACTTGGCCGCAACCCAGGGCCCTGTGGCTCTTCACAGCAGCTGGGAGCAGTGGCCTGGGAGTCACCTGTGGCGGGCTAGGTCAGGGGCTTGTGGCTCCTACCCCTGCCTCAGAGCTTGGTCAACACGGTGAGCACCAGGCCAGCCTCGGCCTGGCTGGAGCTCGCCCACGCTGCGCCTGGATCCTGGTGGAGAAGAAAGTGGTGGGTCCTTCTAGGCCCTTGGCCAGGCCCTGCCCAAGACTGATGTCAGAAGCACAGCGGCCTTCTAGGGGGGCTGACTTTGGACTGCAGGGCAGTGGGGGTGTGACGATGTTGGGGCCTCATCACCTGGACTGCATCTTTCTCAGCAGATTTATTTATAGTTTGGAAATAAATGGGTTTATGGTCCAGTGGCCACTCACATTGCCTAGGGGAGTGGGGGCAGGGAGGGCTGTGAAGGCCTGACCTCACCTTCTCTGTCCCTATTGGGGCCTTCCCTAAGTGACCAGGCCCATCCTGGCCTCCTGCATCTCCTGCTTGCCCCTCTGCAAGGCCCCCCATACCTGCAGGCAGAGAATAAATGAGTATCTACTGAGCACAGCACCCTGGGGCTGAACATGTTTTTTACAGCCTATATTTGAATCCTGGCTTTGTCCCTTTCCATGTGACCTTAAGTGAATACCTAACCTCTCTGTGAAATGGAAGTAATGTGAGTCTGAAGATTCTTGCCAGTATTTGTAACAGATTTAAATCTTAGGCTTATTGTTTCAAACCTTTCATCAACCAAGAGATCAAGACCTAGAAAAGAAAGCTTGCCAAGTGAGTGGGGGGCCTGCGCCTCCATCCGGGTCCTGTGCTGCCTCCTGTGAGGATCCCTGGCCCGCCTTCCACGCACTTCCCTCCACCTGGCCAACGCTTCTCCACTGTGCCGTCCTCTCGCGTGTTGTGGGCAGGGAGCAAGCCCTAGCCTGATACCTGTGGCTCCCAGCCCCAGGCCTACAGCCAGGGCTTCCCCTGGGGGGCTCGGGCGCTCACAGCAGGTGGCGCCATTGCGCCGGCTGCAGCACTCGGCCACCTCTGCAGGCCTGCCACCTCGTCCAGACTCCTCCAGGCAGAGGAGGCGACTTAGGGGGGACCAGGACGGGGCGCTTATAAAAGGCTAGCCCTGTTGAATCTGCCAGAACTCACTGGCCTGGGCCTAGGGTGTAGAGCTTTTAGAAGGGTCTGCAAACTTCCTGTAAAGGGACACATGGTAAACATTTTCGGTTTGGGAACCATACGGCATCTGTTACAACTTCTCAACTCTGTTGTAGCGTGAAAGGAAGCCAGAGCCAATACAGAAACAAAAGGGTGTGGTTGTGTCCCCGTGAAACCTGACTTGGGGCGGAGGGACTGAGACAGTGGCTGGCTGCTGTACCCTGCTGTGAAGGGTCCTCAAGTGTGGAGCCAGGTCCCCTGCTAGCGGGACAGGCCCTCAGATCCTCCGTGGAGGACCAGCCTCCAGTTCCCATTCCCTGCTGACGCTGGCAAACAGGCTGCCCACCCCTTGTCTCTGCCCATCTGTCCACCTTGGATCCTGCAGGTTCCGGGGCCAGGGCCCAGAATGAAAGGAAGCTGGGTTCCTACTGGAGGAAGGGAGCCTGCTGGGGAGGTGGCCTCAGCCTCAGGGCCCGCTGCTTCTTGGGGCGGGAGTGCCTGCCACTGCCCCAGGCGCAGGTGGATGAGCACTTCCTGCCACCCCCCCACACACACCGAGGGAGCGCTGTCTGGTGCAGTAATTACAGGGTGCAGCACCGGCTCCTGCCGCACTCCTGTTGGCCTCAATGACAGCCCCTCACTTAGCAGCAATTACCAGCCAGGCCTAGAGGAGGGCTCCCTCCCCTACTCCCCCGCCCCTCCGCCTGGCCTCCCAGGCCAGACAGCCTTCACCCGGCTCAGCCCTCCAACCACCCGTGCTGTCTGCAGCCATTGCATCTCAGGGCTGCAGCGTCACCATGGAAACTCGGTGCTTGCACAGGTTGACAGGAGCTGAGGATGTGACTGGTCTCTCCAGGCTGTGGTGTCTGTCCCCAGCAGAAGGGGAGGAGGGAGGAGGGCTGACCTGCGGGTTCGGGTTTTAAGTGCTTACATGCCCACTGCCTCTCCCAGGAGCCCACGGTGGGAGGAAGGTTAATGCCCCCAATATATGAGGACGTCCGCAGTTGGCATTGTAGCGGGGACTTGCGCGAGCTGGAGTCTGCTGTGGGAGAGGCCTGAGCCACCAGGCAGGACCCTGTGTACCTGCATCTTCATTCTGGTCCTCGCCTCAGCCTTGGGGGCCGGATCATCTGCGGCTGTATCTGCTCCAATCTGCTGTGAAACCCTGAAAGTCCCGGTGGCATGAGAGTAGTTACACGGCAGCGGGAGAATTCTCTCAGTGGTACTCGCTGCGTGGACTAGCTATTGAGATGGGTTCCAAGTTTCCAGTGCAGAGAAACAAAAGTGGGGACCCTCAGATCATCCATTTAGGGCAACAGCATTCAGACAGTGCTGGCCATGTGGCAGGCACTGCTGGACTTGGGGACAGAGATGTTTGTCCTTGGAGATGCCGGCCCTTTCTCCCAGCCCAGACTGGGAGAAGAGACAGGCAGAAGATGGGAATGGGGAAGGAAGGACGAAGGGACCAGCCACTGGACGCCCTTCACACAGGTTACTGGATCCTGAGCAGCCCAGTGCGGCAGGAACCGCTGCACCTATTTCATGGTTGCGGAAACTGAATTCGCAGAGGCAAGGCATGAGAGCAGCTAAGAATTCATCCTGGGGACACAACCAGATTCAGATTCGCTTTTCTCTGCCCTGTGATCTCAGCCATATTGCTGGTCCTCTCTTCCTTGTCTATAAAGAAGGAATGATAATCTATAAGTGGCTGTAAAGAGAAAATGATATGCAAAGTGGTTGGCACGGTGCTGGGCACATTCTCCTTAGCTCTCAGTGAACATCAGGAGTGGAAATGTCACACACCGTTCCCAGTGACAGCATGAAAGAGGAGTGGCCAGCACTAAGGCCCCACCACCATGGTCCCCATCCTTGCCTCAAAGAGGAGCCACTTGGACATTTGTTCTGCAAAGGAATTTCCAATAGTGGGAACTAAATGGGGGGTTTCTAGGTTTTCACTTGGAAGTTACTGCCCGAGTCCCGGGGCGGAGCTTAGCTCAGTAGAGCACCTGCCTGGCGGCTTGCAGGAGGCCTGGTTCCATCCCGGGACCTGGGGGCTATAAGAAGAGGCTGTGCCCACCACCAGCGGCGTTCACACCAGGCCTCAGCCTCCCGGCTTCCCTCTGAGCCTGTCCCCCCTGCCAGCCCAGCCCTGACATCAGCCAGTCCCCTTCCCCTGCTTCGTGGTAACCAGGTAGCCTGACTTCTGTTCCCATGGTTATTTACAGTTTCGTTGGCAACTAGTACATTTTCCTGAACAGGCCCCTGAGTCCTGCTGGCTTCGGCTGGTGGGGTGTCCCTTTCTCCCGATACCTGATGGGAACTCCCCTGCTGGAGTCAACAGAGTCCCAGAACAGAGGACCGAGAGAACGCATTAGCGGGTATTCAAACAAGGTTTCTGCAGTTGATAAAAGGAGTCAGTGACAGGTGACAGTAACACACCCACTGTCCCTGTCCTCAAGGAACTTCTGTGGGCCTTTAAGCCCAGTGGTTCCCTGGAAAGCAGACTTAGAGATGAAGACTAGAGCAGGCTGCTGACTAGAAAGAGGGACTTGCAGAGGAGGAAGCTGAGCGTCCCCAAGACAGGCCCCAGCCCCACAGTTGTGCCCTAGAGCTGGAATGGCCCAGCAGAGGTGCCCTGAGACAGGAGACAGGCAGTGACCGGCCCCTGGAAGGGGCCTGACTTCAGGTGTGCCGGTTATCTTCAAACCAAGAGAACCCCCCAGGAGGTTGACAGCCAGGCCTGTCCCCTTGCCATGCTCCAGGGGGATAAGGCCTTCATGCCCAAAGCAGGGTCTGAGCATGGCCCCACAGTGTCCATGGTACCCAGGGCCACAATCTGCCTCCAGAGACCACCAGGATCCATGAAAAGGGACGCTGCACCTGGCATGTGTGTACATACGTGTATTTTCCTGGGAGAGTCCTAGATCCCCAAAAGACCAAGAACGGCTGGTCTAAGGGAAGCCCCAGACTTGTCCAAAAGTTCAGTGGGATCAGAGATGCGTATTCCAGGTGTTCGGCGGGAAGTCTGGATGAATGGGCGATGGGTGGATGGATGATGCATGATGGCTGGACGGGTGGAAAGGTGGATGGGGGCGGCTGGTGGATGGGTGGATGGGTGGATGGTGATGGGTGATGGATGAGTGGGTGGACAGGTAGATGCCACAATTGAAGAATGTCCAGGAGGCACAGAAAGGGGAGGAATCAATTCTGCCTGGGTCTATCTGCATGGGTGGGGGGACTTCCAGGAAGGGCTGAGTCTTGAGAACTAACAGGAGTTTGCTAAGCAAGGCACAGAGGTGTGGATGAGCACGAGATGAGCACAGTGTGTTGGAGGGAAGAATTAACTCCCCATAGCTGGCTGGAGGTGTCTGTGGGGAAAGAGGGGTGGGGAGGTCCACCTGCCTCTGAAGAGCCCCCAGGACCCAGGAGGTATCCTGCTAGGGACTGTTCCACTGGGTTCTCTGGAACAAGCAGGGATACCTCCCTCCCCCCACCTCACTTAACAACTGGGGGTATCTCTAAGTTAGGGAGGGGCAGGAGGCTGATCCTAAAGAGAATTCCGTGCCAGGAGGAGAAGCACCAACCATCTCATCCACTCGCCACCTCCTCTCCCACCCCAATTTCCTTTAGTCTTCCTGCAGCCCACCCAGAAGTCCTTGTTATTAGTGGTCCCGGTTTGCAGATGAGAAACAGGATCAGAGAAGCTAAGTGACTTGCCCAAGGTCACTCACCTCAGTAGCCACCAAGGGAGCCCTCTCCTGGGGCTCACCCATCCCAGAGTCCCTCCCCTTCCCCGCCCGCACTCTGCAGCCTCTGGTCTGAAGGGAAGGCAGGCTCTGCCTCCTAGGGGTGCGTCCCTCTGGTTAGGGATGAGAATAATGGCCCTCCGAGGGGGCCCTGGGTCTAGCTGGGCGGCATCCTGCTGGTAATATTTTGCCCAGGGAGGAATCTCCCACTGAGCCCTGCTCCGTCCTGTTCCCGGGGCTGCCCCATGAATTAAACATGCCCCCGTGGTTAACTCAGTAATGCTTTTATTAATAGTTAATTACTCAACGCGCACTGGGGAAATGAGACTCACTCAGGCCTCGTAAATTAAGGCACTGATCTCGTGAAGGAAGCCGATGGGAGTTCAGTGCCTGGCCCTTCCCCCGCTGCACCTCTGGGCTTGCCATTTAGTGGCGCTAAATGCTGTCCCCCACCCAGACGTGCTGGGGTGGGGGGCGGGAATCACAGGGGGAGCTGGGAAGTGGAGGAAGAGCATCTGCTGGGCTTCCTAGAGAGAGGGCCCAGGGAGAGGTGGCCAAAGTGTCAGCCAGGAAACGTTATTCTGCACCTTGGTGGCTTGTCATCAGCCTGTGTTCCCTGTCATTGCCGGGGACTCAGTGCAGCCTCCAGGGATTCTCAGA